ATAGTTTTCAAACTAATCACCTCCAGCCAGTTTATAATGAGCAGATATTACAGTTTTCAAACATAATACCCTCATTATTTTTAGTTTATAAAATACCAAGTCACGTGTCTTATATTATTCGTTTGGGTTTCAATATTTGACAACCACATCACGTGGTCCACATGGAAAGTGAAATAGATTAATATTATGGTTTCAGTTGCTCATTAAATTATATATATATATATATTATTCTTATAGTATTTAATAACTACTATTATTTGTTGAATAGTGATTTTTTAAAAGTAACATAGACCAAAACAACCAGATCGTTATTTCTATATTAATATAGGCTCTATGGAATCTCATCTGTGACAAAATAACACGATGTGCTTTTCGAATTATCATCTTCTAAACGGGCCGGGCGTGGCCTAGTGTCTAGTATCGAACTGTGAATCAGATAGTCCATGTCTCGCGGACGTTGCCGCATTTTGGGATCATGGCTGCGTTATAAGAGTGACGATATATTCAACTATTCAGTGAGAGTAGCTCAAGAGTTGACGGTAGATGCTGTTGACTGACAACCATCCCTCTAATCTATCACTAATCAGGAACGACTAGTGCAGATAGCCCACGTGTGAAACTCGAGCTAATTGTTTTCATACATATCAACGAACTAGCAAGCAGCGATAAAACTGTAGACAGAACCAAGTATACAGCTTGCAGTGTACATGACATTTACCTAATTGTTTGTTTGATTCCAAGTTTTAAGACTAACAGATAACCAGTGAATCACTTAAGGATTTATTAAAAGTTAAATTAGTTCAGAATAGATAATTATCTGAATTCCTAGAGAGTTTAACAGGATTATTTAAGTCATAACAAACATACATTTGGTTGAAAAAAGCACATTTTATTTCTTTTACAAACTGATGAGAATGTCTTAGCTTTATGCACAAAATTAAAAGGTGTATTTCAGATAACTCCACGTTCTATGTACTCTTACTTAAACTGACATCCTTCAAATTGGAATTCTCTCTCTGTTAATATTTTATGTAACGTGCTAAAACTTAACTGAGACGTATGAAAAACAACAACAACACAAAACACTCACACGCTCTCAAGAAATATCGTTAGAATAATATCACGCACGCTTTATCCTTGGAGACGTCAGTATTCTGATTCTACACTGCTGATATGAATAATTAAAATCTACTGGAAACATCGTTTATTTCATGCTACGCTATAAGAATAGGATTAATCCGCTTATTTCTGTGATGAAATTAATTAATGCAGGTAATTTCTGTGAAGAAATTAATTAATGC